TCCCAGATTAGAGTCTGCACTCCCAACCACTACACCAAACTGGCTCTCAGTATAATGGGCTTCATGTGTGAACCGTGCACTGACTTTGAAACCAGCATTATGGCAATAAAAACATTTATGACACTTATGCATGCAAATATGCTCTCTGGAATGTTGGAAAGTGTCGATTTTTAAAAATTAATATTCCCAGCACTTATTTTGGAGCGCATACTTACCACCAGCACATGGAATTAATTTGTGCATTTCTTGCTCTTCTTCAACCCTCTCTGTTGTGTTCTGTAAAAGGAGACTCTCAAAGGCCCTAAGGTTCACTTATGATGTTCTGCTGATCCCATCCCATTGGCAGTGCAAGCCACACTACAATTTGGTGTAGTGGTTAAGTGCGCGGACTCTAATCTGGGAGAACTGGGTTTGATTCCCCACTCCTCCACACGCAGCTGCTAGATGACCTTGGGCAAGCCATAGTTCTGTCAGAGCTGTCCTTGAAAGAGAACTTACTCTCAGAGCTCTCTCAGCCCCACCTACCTCACAGGGTGTCTGTTGTGGGGAGGGGAAGGAGTTTGGAAACCACTCTGAGACTCAGAGTGAAGGGCGGGGTATAAATCCAATCTCCTCCTCCTCCTCCTTCATTTCACCCAGAATAATACTGGCATCCTCCACCCCCTAATATTCAAATTAAAAAAACTGTATTAGGCATTGATTACATACATATCGGGATGAAATGAGGGGGTGGGGGCAGGGAGGAACAAGAACTGCATAATTAAAAAATACGACCAGTGTTGTTGTTGTTCAGTCGCACAGTCGAGTCCGACTCTTCGCGACTTCATGGACCAGGTCACGCCAGGCCCTCCTGTCTTCCGCCGTCCTCTGACGTTTGTTCAATTTCATGTTCATTGCATCGATGACACTGTCTAACCATCTCATCCTTTGCCGTCCCCGTCTTCTTTGACTTTCAATCTTTCCCAGCATCAGGGTCTTCTCCAGTGAGGGCTCCCTTCTCATTGGGTGGCCAAAGTATTTGACCTTCAGTTTCATTATCTGGCCTTCCAGGGAACAGTCAGGGTTGATTTCTTTTAGGATTGACTGATTTGATCTTCTTGCAGTCCAAGGGACTCTCAAGAGTCTTCTCCAGCACCATAGTTCAAAAGCATCGGCCTTCCTTATAGTCCAACTCTCGCAGCCATACAGTACTACTGGGAATACCATTGCTTTGACCATGCGGACTTTTGTTGGCAGGGTGATGTCTCTACTTTTTATCATGCTGTTTAGGTTCGCCATCACTTTCCTCCCAAGGAGCAGGCGTCTTTTAATTTCATGGCTGCTGCCACAGTCTGCGGTGATCTGGGATCCCAGGAACGTAAAGTCTGTCACTACTTCCATGACTTCCCCTTCTATTTGCCAAGGAGTGATGGGGCCAGATGCCATAATCTTAGTGTTTTTGATGTTGAGCTTCAAGCCCACTTTTGCGCTCTCCTCTTTTACCCTGAGCAAGAGGGTCTTTAGGTCTTCTTCACTTTCTGCCATTAGAGTGGTATCGTCTGCATATCTGAGGTTGTTGATCTTTTCCCCAGCAATCTTAATTCCCGCTTGTGATTCATCCAGGCCAGCAGTGGGGAGAACACAATAGGTAGCGGGGGCGGGGAGGGATATTCTCCAGGGTGGTTTACAAACTATTCCCATAATCTCAAGGCAGCTAGAAGAAAACTCACAATCCATTTCCCCCCCCCCCCCAATAATATGACTTTGTGGTGATGGTGGGACTTCTGCCATTTTGGCATTGAATGTAGGGCATTATTAAATCCCTTTCTACCATGCCCAGAAGTTCCACGCAGAACAGCCAAAGAGTTCAGACTCTCTCAGTATGTTCTCCTTATCACTTATCAAACATTGGGAACTATGGTCCATTTCAAAAGCGTCCCTGAAAAGGCGGGAAGCATAGGGAATTTGTAGCAGGCCTTATAGTTACAATGCTGGAAATTAATTTATGTTGGTGCGCAAAGTAAAGAATCGCTATAAGCCAAATTGTGGTTGTGTTACATAGTGAAGTTTCCCAGAGGACAATAATACCAGCTAGTTCTACCTCGTGAAATCAACACGTAAAGGCAAAGGATGCAGGCAAAGACAATCATAACTTAGAGCAGGGGTGTCAAACATGCAGCCCGTGGGCCAAATCAGGCCCCCGGAGGGTTCCATCGGGCCCACAGTGGAACTGGCCATCTCCTGCTTCCAGTTCTGTTGCTGTTGCAGCATCATAGCTTGCTTCGCCAGACTCTCCCAATTGTTCAGCCATTTCATGTTTTCCCCTGGGTTCTAGACTCAGAACTCTGAGCATGAGATTTCTGGGGTGAATGTTGATAAATCAAAATAGGTTTTCAGCTTACAGATACACACTTGAACAGCATACTCGAGACTGCAACAGCACAGACATTTTGATGCAATAATTCAGAGCAAGAGGTGTCAGTTATCAGACACTGCTAAATAAAATATTGCAAGGGTGCTCATGTTTCAAACATGTTTTTATTTTAAGTAAAAAAAAAACCTTTGTGTTTGTGTCCTTTATAAAGTTTACATCTCCACTACCTGGCATTACATTTTATGACACACATGGCCTGGCCCAAGAAGGTCTCATTTATGTCAGATCCAGCCCTCATAACAAATGAGTTCGATATCCCTGACTTAGAGCTTCTTTTCCTCATCCCTTTTTGTTTTTTAACATCCAGTCTGATGAAGAATTCTGCAGAACTCGAAAGCTTGCATGATGTGTTGTGTAGGGTTACCAGCCCCCCGTCTGGGCGGGGGTTCTCCCACTTTTGTGGGCCCCTTTCCACCGCCAGCCAGCTGGCCAATGAGCAGCCCTGCTGCATAAGAGCCCCACCCACATTCTAAAACTTTTGCCGGGCCCCAAGAAAGGTGTTCATGGGGACCACATTGAGGACCCCTGAACTACATGATGCAGGCCGGCAGCAGAACAACTTTAAAGACTAACAAACTTAATCTTGAGGCAGAAGCAGCGGCCTCCAGAATAAATGTTTTGGTCTTCAAGGCGTTCCAGAACTCTTCAGTTTTTGCGCTTGTTTTTGTATACGTTTGAGTTTTGTGCCGAAATGTCCCAGCATTGTAGGGCCTTTCACACCCCAGATCTAAGAACTATGAGTAACTAATAAGGTTGCCTGCCAGCTCCCGGTTGGGAAATACCTGGAGATTTGGGGGCGGATCCTGAGGAGGGGCTTCAATGGGGTCTAATGCTACGGAGTCCGGCTTCCAAAACAGCCCTCTCCATGACAAAAGGAGGGGAGATGCCGTGGCTCAGACTGGCAGAGCAGCTGCTTGGCACCAGAAGGTCCCAGGTTCAATCCCTGGCATCTGCAGTCAAAGGGACCAGGCAGGAGGTGATGTGAAAGACCTCCGCCTGAGACCCTGGAGAGCCACTGCCAGTCTGAGTAGACAATACCAACCTCGATGGACCCAGGGTCTGATTCAGCATAAGCCAAGAAGGACTCAGTGGAAAAACATCTGCTTTGCATGCGGAAGGTCCCAGGTTCCATCTCCAGCATCTCCAGTTGAAACGACCAGGAAGGAGATGATGGGAAAGACCTCCACCTGAGACCCTGGAGAGCCACTGCCAGTCTGAGTAGACAATACCAACCTCGATGGACCCAGGGTCTGATTCAGCATAAGCCAAGAAGGACTCAGTGGAAAAACATCTGCTTTGCATGCGGAAGGTCCCAGGTTCTACACCCAGCATCTCTACTTGAAGGGACCAGGTAGGAGATGATGTGAAAGACCTGTGCCTGAGACCCTGGAGAGCCACTGCCAGTCTGAGTAGACAATACTGTCCTTGATGGAACCAGGGTCTGATTCAGCATAAGCCAAGGAGAAGGGCTCAGTGGGAAAACATCTGCTTTGCACGCAGAAGGTCCCAGGTTCCATCCCCAGCATCTCCACTTGAAGGGACCAGGCAGGAGATGATGCGAAAGACCTCGGTCCGACCGAGACCCTGGAAAGCGTTGAGCGGGCAATCCCGAGAGAGAGTAGGCAACACTGACTTGGTATCAAGCGCCAGTACGTGCGCTCATGTGTGTGTGCGCTCTGCACATGTTCAGGGGCCTTCCCCGAAGCACCCATCACCCTGGCACGATGTCCTGGCTGGCTTTGTGGCTGTTGCACAAGGCTGGACGAGGTGGACCACTGGTCTGATCCAGCAGGGTGCTGCCAACATTTTTACTCAATATCCAAACAAATGTAATTGCAAGATACGTTGGGTGCTCCTGTAACCTTTCTTTGCATTTTATACTCTGATCATCAACCCACAAATCTATCTCTATTTCTCAGGTATACATAATGATTATTACTCAAGCAAAGAGGGTCAACAATGAGCTACGTGTCTTAAACTGAAGGGTGTTGGGGGGAGGGAATGGGAAGCCTTAGAGAATAAAGATAATTGGAAGTGATCATAATTCAAGATAACAGAGGGGAAATTACAACCCCACCAGCATGCCAGGAAAACAAGGTTAGAAGGTGGTGTATGGCCTTCAGAGATGCTATATGCTGTGGACCAGTGTTCTCTCTAAGCTGAGTTAGTGTGAGCTAGCTCACCGTTTTTTAGCCTCCGGCTCACACGTTTTTGTCTCAGCTCAGGAAGGAGGGCTCTAGAGGAAACTAATTTATGTAGTAGCCAAATGGCTCGCTCACAACTTTAATGCCAGCAGCTCACAAAGTAGAATTCCCGCTCACAAGACTCCACAGCTTAGAGGGAGCCTCGACGATGACCCTCCGCAAGCCAAGGCGAGCCAAACTCCCCAGGCCTCCCGCTGGGACGCGCGGCGCTCCACGCCCAGCCGGGGGAGGCCGGCCCAGGTCGGCCGCATCAGCCACAGGTGGCGGGCGGGCGAGCGAGGGAGGCCGCGGCTGGGGCTCCGCCTCCCCGCCGGCGGCTCTGGGCCGAAGCCCACGTCGCGGAACAGCCGCTGGAGAAGGAGGAGCCGCCGCCGCGGCGAGAGGGAAGCGCCGGAGCCGCCGCCGCCGCCCCTCGGGGGCTGCGCGCCATGAACGCCAACCGCACCGAGAGCGACTGGCAGGGGCTGGTGAGCGAGGTGAGGCCCGGCGGCCGGGCACTGGCAGGGCGGGGGAAGCCGCCGCCGCCGCCGCCGCCCCGAGCCGCAGCCCCGGTGGAGGGAGGGAGGGATGCCCGCCCGCTGGGAGGAGGCGACCCCGCTTGGCGCCCGCTGCAGCCCCAGCAGCCGCGCCTCCTCCTCCTCCTCCTCCGGCTTGGCCAGGCGGCGCCGGCCTCTCGGGCCAGCTGGGCGCTCTTCTGGGAGGGTGGCCTCTCCTGCCACGCGTCCCACGGAGCCAGGAAGCCGGCCCTTTCCCAGCGCGCGCTCTACTCACAAGGAGTAGGCCCTGCGCCTTCCAAGGGGACTCCCTCTCTCCCCCCCCCCCCCCCTCTTTTTTGAGCACCGCAGTTCTCTGTGGATTGGCTGCGGGGGGTGGGACTTGGGAAGGGTGCGTGTCCTGCCAGTGCTCCCTCTAAGCTGAGTTAGTGTGAGCTAGCTCACAGTTTTTTAGCCGCCAGCTCACACATTTTTGCCTTAGCTCAGAAAGGAGGGCTCCAGAGCAGTGTTCCCTCTAAGCTGAGTTGGTGTGAGCTAGCTCACAGTTTTTTAGCCTCTGGCTCACACATTTTTGCCTTAGCTCAGGAAGGAGGGCTCCAGAGGAAACTAAGTTATGCAACAGCCAAATTGCTGGCTCGCAACTTTAATGCCAGTAGCTCACAAGGTAGAATTTTTGCTCACAGGACTCCACAGCCTAGAGGGAACATTGCTCCAGAGCGAACTAATTCATGCAGTAGCCAAATGGCTCGCTCACCACTTTCATGCCGGCAGCTCACAAAGTCAAATTTTCGCTCACAAGACCCCATAGCTTAGAGGGAGCGTAGCCCTCCCTTCCAGGCTTCTTTCCCTGGAAACCTTTGGGGCAGTCCCTCGCCTGCCCTCCAGCTGAGGTCACTCAGTGGAGAGGTGTTCTTTAACCCCGGGTTAGGCCTGCCTAGTGTTTCTGGACTCAGCGTTCAGCTGCATGATGAACTCCTCCGGCTGGACCCCCCTATTCTCCCGTCTGTGCTGGTGGCGGGATAATGTACTGGTGAGCCCCATTTGGAGTGGGCAGGGCCCACCTGTGAGCCCCACATGCTCTGGAGGAGGTGGCACTTCTGGACCATATGTTTCGGCGTGTCATAGAAGTGTATGAGATTGTTTCTTTTTTAAATATAATTTTTATTTTGAACTTTTGGAGGGAGTACAGAATACGGAGAACAAGAAGAACTGTGAGAAAGGGACGCTTAATATATGTCTTCAAAGAATCGTAGAAGTGAACAAAAATAATATACATAATCATAGGAAAATATATATTGACTGTGATCTCCGGAATGTCTTGCCGTTTCGAAGGAAGATCTTCTTCTGAACAAAGAGGTGGGACAAAAACTGTCTCTCGATAGTTCATCTCCTCTGGTGACGTCTCACAATTATCAAAGAAGATTTTCAACAATCATACCAGCTGTAATGTATAGTAGAACCTGCCATGGGGTTCTACTATACAAAGGGGGTAAGGGGAAAGAATACAAGGTAAAATTAGCAGAGCATAGGCTAAAGGGCATCTTTGCAAATATAAAGGACAATCCTTGATTCACATACTCGAATTTTTAGGAAAACTATATAGCATGATAACTTCAAAAAACCACTATAACAAACGTACTCGACATTCTACCATTTTGTCGTAATATAATTAACATTTTTATCCTATGAAGTATGTGAGAATGTTTCTGTTTAGAAGAACTGTCATCTTAGGAGCGGGAAGGTGGTCCTGGTGAAGCTAGTGGGGGAGGCAGAAAGGGGGAGCATGATTGACCAGCAGGGCCAGCTGAAGACCTGTGGAGGTGAGGGTTGCCAAGCCCTCCCTGGCCACCGGTGGCGGATGGGGGGGGCTAGGTTGCCAGCTCCAGGTTGGGAAACTCCTGGAGATTTGGGGGTGGACCTGGGGAGGACAGGGACCTCAGTGGGGTACGATGCCACAGAGTCCACCCTCCAAAGTAGCCATTTTCTCCAGGGGGAGCCGATCTCTGTAGTCTGGAGATGAGTTGTTAATTCCAGGGGATCCCCAGGTCCTACCTGGAGGCTGGCATCCACAAAGGTCCTAATCAGGGCCCGTTTTAAGAGGCTCCACAGCCTCCCCCCACCGAAAATGGTCATTTTAGCCATTATTACTAATCGTTTTGTGTTTAGTGGCTCTTTGTAATCTGAGGCCCTAAACCGTAGGTGTCAGACTGATTTTTTATGAAGGCAGGATCTGACATAAGGGTCACTTTGTCCAGCCGAGTCACGCAGACCATAAAATGAAATGCCGGGTACCAGAGGTATCGACTTTATAAATGACACAGGCAAACCTAATGAACACTGTTGCTTTTTACTCAAAAGATAAACATGTTTAAAACATTGACACTCCTCCGGTATTTCCTTAAAATGTCTCCCTGATGTCCTCCACCTTCCCACTTCCACCGCCCAGTACTCATTAGCACTGGGATAGTGTGCCGGGGACATAATGCACAGCCTCTATCATCTGGCAACAAAGGTAATGAGCAGTTGCTCGCAGGCCGCCGGACAAGAGTCTTGGACGGTCCGGTTCCAGCATCTGGGTCAGGTGCTTGACCCCCCTGCCCTAAACCGTAGTTAATTAGATCCAGGGGGTCAGCCATGTTGCTCTGAAACAGTAGAACAAATTTAGAGTCCAGTGGAACCTTTAAGACAAACAAAGGCTTATTCGAGGTATGAGCTTTCGTGTGCAAAGCACACTTTTTCAAATACATTGGAATGGTGTGTAAGGCTCAAACTTATAGACAGGGAAATTACATGTAAATGCAAACGTAGGCCCTGTTCATACGAGGCGTTTTGGGCTGGGAGGGGGACGGAATGGGGGTGGAGCAAACGGGCGCGATCCCACGGCAACATCTGGGAATTGTTGCCTGCCCGTCCCTGATCCGTCCCTACCACCGAAAACGCGCACTAAAAAAGAACCACCTACCTAGGTGGTTCTTTCCAGTAGAGCGCCTCAAGCCAGGCCGTGGGATCGGCCGGTGCATCCCGTTTGGCAGACTCCCCCTCCCATCCGACTCTTCCTCCCCGGCATCTGATCGTGCCGGGGAGCGCCGCGCCGCGGCTCGGGGGATCCGTGGGATCCCGCTGCAACGTCTCAATTTTGGTGCGGCTCAGATTAGCTGCAGTTCACTTCTTCGACACGGTACAACATCTGATAGCCCGAACAGTTTGTCCATTGAAACTGCTCGGTATTTAAACATTCCCGGCTAATGTAGCCACTCCTACTATACACATATCAACCTATCAGGTTGAGCACATAAGGACCAATCACAAACGTTCCCGCTTGCAGCTTGCTTGAATGTGATTGGGTCGTTAGTCTTGGACTTGAATCCCCTGCAGGAATGCACAGGAACGGAGTTCCGGCTGGCTCCTGAGTTGGCCACGCCCAGCAGGAACTCATTAGCATAATAGCTCACACCCAACAGCAGAAACTCATTAGGATTGTGTGGCCTAACATGCAAAGGAGTTCCTGCTACAAAAATAGCTCTGGGTTTTGAAAACAAACAAGGTAAACAGAATAAGAAGCAAAAGGTGGGTGTGGCTGGATGACCACACTTCTGGTAACGTGACTGCGGCCTAATATGCTAATGAGTGGTGCTGTCAGGGGTGTGGCCCAATATGCTAATGAGTTTCTGCTATTGGGTGTGACCTATTATGCTAATGAGTTCCTGCTGGGCTTTTTCTACAAAGAAAGCCCTGATATTGTATAGCAAGGTATCAGCCTCTTGATACAGTTCAATGTCTGTTAAGAGCAAACCAATGCTTAACTTCTTTATTTTCTGCACTTTATCCTAGGAAAAAATCCATGATATTTTAATTGAAAAGAAACATGGAGCAGAATGGAATATTCATATTATTTTATATTGTTAATTTATAGATTCTTAGCTTAATTTTTTAATTTTTTAATTTTATAGAACTTACTTCTGGTTCCATTTCGAGTGTTAGTATTAGGAACAAGCCAGTCTTGTCTCTTTAACTAGGTGCACAGGCCTCCTGTATTATGCTGACTGAAATGCTCTCCGTGAAAACACAACAAAAATATTTATAGTAGTAGCACCAGTCCTCTTTTCTTCTGGCTAGAAGCCTTCATTATACTACATGATATTTCAGGGCTTGGCTGAAGCTTCGGGGCTACATTCCCTTCTTAGGGTTCCCAGGGGAAAGACATACCTCTCCGAGCAAGTACAAGAGGCTTCTGCATGTGTTTGGGGTTCTGTCCCGCATTTGGGCTCTGACCAGCTGATACCCCCAGCTGTATGGTTCTGGACCCCATCCCCCCCTTGAGTCCTGAGGTCTTCAGGAGGCCTGCCAACCCCGTCCCTTGCCAAGCTTCCACCTGGAAGCTAAGGCCCTCCCTAGACCTGATACTCAACGTGAGTAAAAACCAGAGGATTCGGCCTTGGTTCTGTATCAGGCACAAAATACGCTCAGCTTTTCCCCTGTAAGATTCATAGAATCATAGAGTTGGAAGGGACTTCCAGGGTCATCTAGTCCAGCCCCAGATCTGGCCCTCCTGTTTTATCTGTAACAGCACAGTCGGGTTACATCCATCGATCTCATTGGGCTTAGACTGGAGTAACGTTGTGTACAATTGTATTATAACAGTAGCATGAACTCTGAAGCTTTTCTTTTCTTTTCTTTTTGGTAATATATTTATTGGTTTTTCAAACACAACGAATGGACATAGACAAAAAGAGACAATTTCATCTTAACCTCTCTAAGGTATCTTAACAAAACATAACATAATATCACAAATTCAAATTTGTCTTAACTTTCCATCCTTATACTGTATATCCTCACATATTACCCGCAGTTACATACAGTTACACTAACTTCCAAATTAAGATATTTTAACAAGACATAACATCATATCGTAGGTTCAAATCGATTTTTTTTGTTTACCCAACCTTATACCTGTTTCCATATACTGGCTTTCGAGCAAGGGA